ACAAATGTTTTTCATATATGTATGTTTGTGTAAATATGTCTGTACATAATATGAAATAAAATTATCATTCAGACAGAAGAGGTATTTTCAACACGGCAGTGCAACTCTCTGTATAATATCGTACTGAATGGACGTCGTTGATGAACTCATATGTGAGTCAAGAATTCTTGAAACGAGCGTGATCATAATGTATACCAATAAATATCACTAAAACGACTGGGCAAAGAATACTTTGAAACTACTGAGACAATTATGTGTGCTACTAGTAAACGACATGACCCTCTCTAGTAGGGTTAGAGAAAATGAAAAATGGTCCCTCGCCCCAGGGGGGAAACGCAAAATTTGAAGAGACGCCCATCCTCCAGAGAGGCATGTAAAGTTTTACAATTATTAGTAATATTTAATGGATAATTTTGTTAGCTATTTATTCACACGTGCCATCTCCACTCATATCATATATAATAGCAGATATTTGAGTTTTTTTATAAAACTTATCAATCGTCTAATCAAAACCTGGAAACCATTTCTTTGAAATCTATGACAAATCTATTCATTTTACATCTTTATATTGTATAATTGTCCATAAAATCCAAATAGAGGTGCAAATAAAAAAAGAGGACAACTTTCTCATATTTGTATGCGGTCGAAAAAAAAGGGCTATGTAGTCAGTCCTCTTTTATTGTCTTCATTGTCGTATCGGTACATTTTTGTATCGATCACAAGTAGTCGAACGTGCTTCGCAACCACAAGTTTGATATCAGTAGCGCCTTAAAGATGTGGGCCCAGTGTCCCATCCTCAGCCCACATAGCGTTGTAAGCCAAAACGTATGTACCCGTCCCATTATTTACATATTCATGCGGCGTACATATGCTTGTAAATATAGAGAATAAAATCAGTAAATCACGGCCCTCGAAATAGGGTCTCGACTCTCGAGCGGAAATCAAGGTTTCTCTCTACAACGGAAATCGAAATTTTAGCAGCGACCCACAATTTGCAAAACCCAGACTCCAGAGGGCCGTGATAAAATTTCTAATTTGAAACTATTTTGAATATTACGTCATACGGACGTTAGTCTGTTGTGGCAATTTTTTCTTTCTCTCTAAAGGGTCATGACCAATTGAAACTATTTATTTTTAAAAATTGGTTGGCTATTCTATTTTTGGACATTCGAAAAAGTGGCCAATAAAAATATGAGCAGATATTTGATATACCCAAATGTACCAACCAAAGGAGTCAGCCGGCCTGTGTTGTGGCAATTTTTTCTTTCTCTCTAGAGGGCCATGATATTACTCTGCAAAAAGGCAAACCCTTATCTAAGAGTTACTCTAAAATCTTTTGACACAACACATACCAGATGAGAATTCAGAATGAGAAAAGTGAAAACAGTGTAACACAACAGCCGCGAGGCAAACCTACAATTCAAAAGTAAACACTGTAAAAAGTGAAAATAAATACCATCATTGCCAAGTGCCAACAGCCAAGAGTGGTGTGCTGGTTTTGCTGCCTTCCCAATATATCTATTTTTCTATATAATTTTACACGGAAAGCTCTTAGCCTGGTTTAATTTAGAAGGCTATAGAAAGCCACTATTAACACGTGTCATCTCCACAATTGTTGTATTTAACTGATAGTATAAATCTCAACATCGACCTGGATAATTCCTCACTTTTCCACTGCAACGCTACCGATTGCTCGAAAGCCTTCTTATACCCACTCTAGCTCATGATGTGTGCTCAACCCGAGAAGACTGTCTCCGAACAGCCCAAGGCTACACAGAAGGCCAACGATAAGATCACGGACAACAAAACTGCCAACAAGGTCAACAGTGCTCTTTCAGGAGGTCTGGAGACAAACCTGTTCGGCTGTCTAGAAGACATTATTGGATGTAAGTGTTTCCTGTTCCATAGTAATATACTTCTTCAGTTTATTCATAGCAATAATGTGTTATCCGGCTCGACTCCTACTTCGTGCTCTCCTATAGACTGTCTAGTGATCGACCTGTAAACTTCACCCTCGTATTATGTCCTGTACCAAAATCTTCATCTCAATCTCACAATGCCCAAACTTGAAACCACTATCCATAACACCACAGGTGTGCTAGCCTGTTGTGTGCCCTGCGTAGTTGATGCCACCACCCAGGCCAAGGTGGACGAGCGCGAGTGCTCCATCTTCGATGTTGTCTGCTGTCCCTCAGGCTACAGCACGCGCCAGTCCATGCGTGCCAAATATGGCATGGAATACAACGAGCTGACCGATTGTCTGTCTGCGTGTGTGTGCAGACCTTGCTTTGTGTCTCAAAACGCTCGTGAGATTGCTGTACGCCAAGCGAACGGTGCCAAGTACATTTGTACCCCCAAAGAGATGTAAAAGGTATACAAACAGGATTGTACATTGTACACAGATACAAGGAGGGGGGTATGATGCCGCTACATTGGTTCTAGCGTAGTACGTAAGCTACTTTAGCTCTAAATCAACACCACTCTACACACAAACTGGAAAATAAACTTAGATCACCACAATGGTGTGATGCTTCAAGTGAGCGACTAATTCAGATTTTCCAGTGAGGCCATAAAAAACACGGAGAGTGGCATTGACATACACTGCTTTTAAAAATCTGAATCAAACAAACTGGAAAAAATCTTGGATCATCGCAATCATGATGTTTCATGTGAGGAATTATTTCGCACATGAGTGGAGGTATAAAAACAATGATTTTATCAGTTAAGTAATATACAAAAGAAATATGTTCTCGAGTTTTTAGAAATACTTATTTATTCCAGAGATATTTTATCAATACGTTGGTCGATCAGATGAACGTAAACAGAACATTGTAGGTAAGTTGTCAAAGATGTTCACTCAAGTATAGTTACGTAGACGAATCGTACATTAGGCATGTGAATTATATCACAAGAAAAAGAGTATTTCACGTAGCTTACGTTAACGAATATGAAGAGTCCGCTCAGATATGTATTTTAAAGCAAACAGCTAGTAGCATATTCCTCTACATGAAATACATAATCGCAACGATGTGCAAAATTTCTCTCTGTAGTGTATTTGCCTCGCAATCATGTATA